AGTTGATCAATTCTCTCTTTTACACTTTTTTTTTGGCAACAGACTGCATTTTTAAATCTAAAACTTTACAGCATAATTAATAATAGTGTAAAGTCTTGTCTCTAGGAAGAGAAGCTTAGCAAAACCTATGAAAATCATTGACAGGAGCAAACCAAGGGCAACCGAACAAGTGCACAGAGAGAAAGGCATCTGTGCACATAGTCAGGAGAATTTTACAAGGAGTAGAAGCAGCCAGTCACAGCAGTACTGGGGGCTAGGGGCTAGTAAAGTACAAATCGTGCCAGAAAGCATGTAATTGCTTTTTTGTGCTCCCTGGTAGAAGGAAATTAGTGCTTCAAAGGCATACAAGTAGATGCAATGTTTTGTTGAATTCTCGAGGTGTTTTTGACGAATGTTGTATGAATCTCATTCAGAGTGTTCATTGAAACTCACACAGAGAGAGGGTGGTGGCATGGTCCAGGCCCACAAATTCTACTCTCCACAGTACTGTGCGTGCCAGCTGGGCCCCAGAGAGACAGGCTGCCCGGGCTTTGCACACCTGCCACCAACCTTCCTCAGCCCTAGATGTGGCTGCCTTCCACATCTGAAAAATTGTGTCTGCCTTACACATATAAAAAAATAAAATGAAATGAAAAATCAATAGCTAAAATTCAAATATCAACTTCCCAGAACATTAGTTCAGCGGAATCTTTGCCAACCACAAAATCAACCCGTCTTCTGGAACAGTGCTCTGTGAATTCCATAGTGGACTGCTGGCCGGGATGACTCATATCACCTACAAGCGTTACAGGAAAGCCTGCGAAAGCTGGAGCCTGTGTGAGACAGAAACCTGTAAGAGAGGGAAAACTCAGATTCTTTCCACTAGCATAATAAAGAAATGACAAGACTGCTTCTGTCAAAGGCGGAAAACTTAAAAGACCCAGAACAAGAAGACAGATTGCTGAGTTCCAGCTGTCCCAGATCTCACAGTACAAAAGCTCCTCTTTGTTCCCTGACCTGCCCCTGGACCTCCTTGCCATCAGTCTGTGTTTTATTCGTTCACATATCCCAGCAAATGCTTAAAAAAACGAAAGAAAAAGCAAAGGGGAAAAAACAAACCAACAAATGCTTCTCTACTGAACAAATACCTCCTTATCTCTTTAAAATATTGTTGTTATGTGCTGTCAAGTCGCTTGCAACTCATAGCACCCCTATATACAGCAGCTCTGAACCCTGCTCTATCCTGAGTCAACCTCATTGTCTCCAACACACCTACCCCCATTACCCCAGTCAGTGAATCAATCTATCTCATCCAGGTCTCCCTCTTTCACTGTCTCTCCACCCTCTCCAAGGACTGGTCCCTCCTTGGAATATACCCAAAGTATGTCAAACAGAGCTTCAGAATCTTTGCCTCCAAGAACTAGCCTGCTTTTACCCTCTCTAGGATGAACTTTTTGTTCTAGCAGTCCATGGTGTATTCAATATTCTTCTCTAGCACCATAACTCAAAGGTATCAATTCTTCTTCTATCATCTTTATCATTGTCTAGCTTTCTGATGCATAGCAAGTAATTGCGAAGATCATGGCCTGGAGCAGGTGCACCTTAGTCTCTAGACTGACATCGTTGCTCTTCAGTACTCTAGAGAGGTCTTTGACAGCAGATTTTCCCGATGCAATTTGTCTTTTGATTTCCTGGCTACTGGTCCCAAGAGGGTTGATAGTGGAGTCAAGCAAGCTGAAGCTATTAAGATTCTCAATCACTTCACTGTCTATCATGATGCTGCCAGTTGGCGCAGTGGTGAAAATCTTTGCTTTCTTGATATTGAGTTTCAATCCATATTGATGGCAGCTGTCCTTGACCTTCTGCAGCAATCACTTCAGGTCCTCCCCAGTTTGGACAAACAAGGTTTTGTCATCATCATAACACAGGTTGGTGGTGAGTCTTCCTCCAATCCTGATGATCCATTCCTCCTCATAAAAGCCAGCCTCCTGGATCATCTGTTCCGTATGTAGATTGAAGAGATATGGAGAGAGGATGCATCCCTGTCGTACACCTTTCCTGATTTTGAACCATGCAAAGTTTCCTTGCTCTGTTCTGACTACTGTCTCTTGGTCCAAATAGATGTATTATACATATGTATGTCTTCTTCTTGTTGTTAGATGCTGCTGAGTACAACTCACAGTGACCCTATGAACAACAGATCTGAACCCTCCTATCCTATTCCATCCTTCAATCTCTGACATGCAAGCCCATCGCTGCAATCACAGTGTCAACTCACCTGGCTAAGTGTCTTCCTCTCCTTTGTTATCCCTCCTCTTTTCCAAGCATGATGTCCATCTCCGAGATGAAGCTTCATCATTTTTGCCTCCAAGAAGCACTGGGGCTGCACCTTGTCCAAGGTGTATCTGTTTGTTCTTTTGGCCGTCCATGGGATATTCATCACTCTTCTCCAGGACCACAGTGCAAAGGCATTAGCTCCTCTTCTGTCATCCTTAGTCATTGTCCAGCTCTCAGAAACATTGCAAGTGACTGAAAAGACTGTAACTGAATCAGACACACCTTAGTCCTCAAACTGACATAATTGTTCCTCAATAATTTGGAGAGGTCCCTGACTAGAGGCTTTCCTAGTTCAATAAGTTTCCTGATCTCCTAACTGCTAGGACCAAGTGTATTGATTGTGGACCCAAGATAGATAGATAGATAGATAGATAGATAGATAGATAGATAGATAGATAGATAGATAGATAGATTATATAGATACAAATATAGATACAGATATAGATATATAAATCCACCAGCAGGCACATGATTGGAATCTGCTAGCTCCTCCATGAGAAAAAGATGTACAGTCTCCTCCCATGGAATTTATTGCCTCCGGAAACCCTCTGGAGGGTGAGCTATGTGTCAGTTCTGACTTGACAGTACAACACAACAACCACAACTATATTATATATCTGAACGTTCAGCAGGTTTTCAGAGGCAGTAAATTGTATGGGAGGAGATTGCCCATCTTTCTCCCTTGGAAGAGCTGGTAGATTCCAACCATGTGCTTTTGGGTTGGCAATGCAACTCCATACCAATAAGCCACCAGAGCTCCCACATATGTCAACATAAATGTTCCTTTAGAGAGTTTCCATATTTAGGACGGATTTAACATACATCAGCTGAAAATGTGCATGGAATTCAGGTCTCTTTTAATTACACAATCCAGTAAGGTGGTATCTGTACTTGTGCATTTTTACCTCCTGCACATATCTGAGTCAGCGCTGCTCTTTCTGTGCTGCCTCCTTCCTCCAGCCCCATCAGCTGCTTGTTGCGGCAGCCCCACCCCTGCAATCCGTCTGCTGGCCATGTAGCCTGAGCAGTCAGGTGGGGGATGCACACTCTTGCGCTGAAAAAGAGACCACCAACAAAGGTCGAAGGCTGCATTTAGAGCAAAGGAAGAAGTTCTATTTTAAGCTTAAAGCATAGGGTTGGTTTTGCAGATAAAAATTGCAGCGGCATCAGCATCTAGAAATGAGTATTAATGAGATGGCCACCACAAAGGAGTGTGAGCCACAGAAAGAACTCAGGACACCATGTTTATTGCTGAGAGGGGCTGGTCAACAGATGGATGACGGATAGCCAGACGAGTGGTATCATGGGAGCTGTCCTAACTGTGAGCTCAGGGAAGCAGATGGTCAGTAGTGCAGCAGAGTGTCCGTAGGATGTGGTAATAAGACTCTTATTGACATTACTTTAGGCATGTTGTCAGGAGATAACGTCACGCTGGGGAAGGCAGAGGGTCACCAAGAAAGAGGAAAGCCCTTGGCGAGATGGATTGACGAGGTGACAGCAAGGGACTTGAGCATGTCAGAGATTGGGAGGATGATGCAGGAGATAAGGATCCAGCCTGCTTTTCATAGGGTCACTACGAGTATTAGTTGGCTCCATGGCTCTTAATGACAACATTGACATTAAATAAGAAACCCCAGCCATCAAGGCAGTCCCAACACATGAAGAGACCACCCAACCCATGGTACTCTGGATTCAAGCCACCAACCTATAGGTTAATGGTCCAACACGTGACACCAGAGCTGCTTTTCTTGACATCAGAAAGAGTCGTTTCAGTAGAGAAGCCAAGGAGTGAATGGAAGGCAGAAATGAGAACACACACTTTCATTGTACTTGTTAACAGGCAAGGAAGGTCCAGGTCTGTTGTCCATGGAATCTCAGTGAGGTATAATCAGTGGATGGCATTAATAAAGTAATGGGTATAGAATCTGAATGGTTCAAACTGCAAAAGCCCTGGTTACTAACTGAAAGGTTAGAGGTTCAAACTCACCCAGAAGGCCTCAGAGGAAAGACCAGGTGGTAAACTTCCAGAAAATGTGCCCCTGGAAGCCCTCCAGGGCCCAGTTCTCCTCTGACACACCCAGGTGCCCTTGAGCCGGTCTACTCAGTGGCAGCTGTTTTTTGTTGTTGTGTTATGAGTAGAGTCTCTAAAATGCCACCAGTCCTTTGAACTGATAAGGATAATTAAGAACGAGCGTACAATAATATCAGACCAGTGTCAGTTTCCTGCTTCTGACAGTGCACAGTGGTTATGTAAGATGTTAGCATGGGAAGAAGCTCTCTGTACTATTTTTGCAATTTCTTGGGAGTCTTAAAAGATTTCAAAATAAAGCATTTTTTTAAAAGAAAAGACTTATTATGACAAGGCATTTCCAAAACTTCACAGCCCCCCCGCCCCCAGCCTGCTGTGCTATGCTCACAGAGCCCTGCCTCTCTTCTCAAGACCCACACTGTCCTTCACTCAGCTCTGATCTACCTGTTTCTCACTCTCCAGGTCTAGAAAGAGCATCATAAGGCCTCTGGAGCAATCTGACCTGGGCTCTCAGTGTTCATGCCATTAGCTTGCAACCTTGGACATGTAGATTGGCCTCTGTCTATACCTTAGTGTTCTCATCTGTGAGATGGGGTCCTGGTCCGGAAGTCCTGGCCACTAACCCAGGCTTTCCTGTCTTCTCTTGCCTTTTCAGGATGCATCAATTGCACACAGATTCCACATGATGAGAGAGAAACAGCCTGAAAAGTTCAACAGCAGGTAAGAGGCCATGGCCCCTGCAGGCCTGGCTGCTCTGTCCTCTTCAGCTGCCATCCAGCCTGGCCTGGCCAAGGCCCACCTGTTCTCATGGCAAGGACCACATTGCCAGAAGAAGGGTTTTCATTTCCAAGAAGAAGAAAAAAAGTGTCAGAAACCTGCCACAGCCTGGCAGCCTCTTCCTCCCCAAAGATGCCACGCAGAGGCTGGGGTTGAGGGCGGGAAAGGGAGATGTGGGGAAGCCGCCTGGAGGCTGGTTTGCCCTTAGCTCACTGGAAACCCCCTCTGCTTTCTGGAAATGCTCCACTTGTCCATCCTTTCCCCTACAACTCTCCTAAGAGAGATGTGAAGAGTTAGAAGGGGCTTCCTGGAGACCCTTAACCTCTCCCCATCCCAAAAGACAGGGAGGCAGACAGCAACTCCTCCAGAGCCAGTGAAACCAGGAGGGAGGCCCCTCTACTTCCCCTGAGAGCTGAAGAGAAGACAAAGAACCCATCTGGGTCCACCCTAGGCCTAGGCACCCTCTGTGAAATCTGCAGGCCAGGCCAAAAAAATGAAACAGGAAAATGAGTCATTTACAAACAAAGCAAAACCCTTGTTGCTGGAGGGCAGGTTCTTGGGAGAACCGAGTCCTAACAGGCTTACCACCTCCCTGCTACTGCTAATATTTCAGTTACCTTTTCCTTCTTCCTTTTTCTTCTCTTTTGGTTAATTCCTAACCTTTCTCTTTCCTTGTTGAGGTGCCTTTACCCAGTCAGGTAGGATGGAAGGAAAATAATTTAGTCTTGGTCTTTGATCTTGAGCGCAGCTGACCCTCTAGAGAGTTTTCAGAGGCTGTAAATGGTACTGAAGGAGACTTTGAAGGTTCTCTTCAAAGCAAAGGTCAGGAAGTGACCTGAAAACATTTACTGAAAGTCCAGCATCAGTTCTTGACTCAATGGTACACAACAACAACTTAAGACTTCCCTTGTTTTCTTTTATTCCCTTTTCTCCTGACTTCACAGACTGGAGGTTAACCAAGAATAGGAAAGTCTTTTGGGGAACAGACAGTGGAGGTCAGAAACTAGCACTGAGATCTAGCTAGCAGTCAAATCAACTCTAGTGGTAAGGAATTACCCTGTCATCCCAGGGGTATGCGGTTCAAATCCACCATCTGCTCCATGCGACAAAGATGGACAGTCTCATTCTGTGCAATTTACTACCTCTGAAAACCTACTGGAGGGTCAGCTATGGGTCAGCTCCAACTCGAGAGTTCACAACAGGACTTGCAGTGACTTTCCACCACAGACACATTCCTTCCCATCCTCTCTCATGCAGACCAGACACACCTGCTGAACCCTATGAAGGGGCCCCTGTGTTGTACTCCATAGACAGTTGTGCCAGTAACCTTCTCTGGCATTCAGATCCACCAGTCGCTCCCCCAGGAGAAAGATGGGCAATTTCCTCCCATGGAATTTACAACTGCAAAAAATCAGGTGGAAGGTCACCTGTGAGTCAGTACTGATTCTGTGGCAGTGAGTTTCAAACAGTTCCTACATACCATGTCAGTCTTTATAGCTACTAAGTTAGCAGGTTTGCAAATCAAATGATTGCCATCTCACAATCCTTCTCATTCTCTTGTGTACGCTTATTCCATTAATATTCTTATATTTCCACCATTCCACAGATTTTTCAGTCATTCTTTCTCACATCGTACCCTTATACATGCTCACGCATCGCTGCCTGTTAAGACGCCACACATATGCCTGCTGAAATAATTCACTGATTCATACAACAGTACCCGGTGAAAACCTACCGTCTCCCAGACCCAGCTGTAGAGGGGCCTGGGATAGAGATGTGTGAGGGAGTCAGAGATGAGGGGTGGTGACAGACTGGAAAGCAAAAATGCATGATTTGTGAAAAAGTGGTGTAAATAGAAGTGAGCTCTGGTAATATAGCCCTGGTCAGTTTTGTTGCTTACCCGAAAGACTATACCTCTCCAGGAGCTCCAACGGGAAAAGATGAACCATCTCCTCCCAGTGTGATATGTAGCCACGGAAATGGGTGGAGGTTCACCTGAGGCAGAACTCAATGGCAATGAGCTATTGGTAGGAACACCCAAGACCTTGGGTGGTTCCAGTGATCAAGCTCTAAGCTGCTAACTGAAAATCTGAAGTTCAAGTTCACTCCAAGCCCACCCCCACCCCCCGAGGAGAGGGTTGGTGGTCTGTGTCCAAAAACTCAGCTATTGAAAACCCTTTGGGACCCAGTTCTACACTGACACACATTGAGTCAACCATGAGTTGATTTCAACCACATGGCAACTGGTTTTGGTTTTGTTTTCTTTTAATGGTAACACAAAACAAGCCATGGAACTTAGCCTTGAGGGTTTTCCAAAGGCAAGAATGTCCCAACACAGGGATGACAGAGCAAACAAGTGTGCATTTGGCAGGCTGCAGAAGAGGGGAAAGGCAGTTCAGGCTGAAGAAACTGGGCAGAAAATGATACAAAGGTGCAAGAGAACACAGGACATGCTAGGGAAGAGTAAGTCATTGGATAAGACTGGCCGGCCGCCTCCTGGGGTGTGAGGGAGGAAAGCATCTCTTGTCTGTAAAGGGCAAAGGAGCGGGAGGAGAGAGGCTTATCCACTGCTCTAGCAGTCAAGATACAGGTCCTAACATGATGCAGACAGAGCAGTTGTCAGTTATCCACAGAATCCTTGCCTCCAAGGAGCAGTTAGGTTTCATCCTCTCCAGGACAATCACGCCTCTCTGGCCCTTTGAAGCTCCATGTCATAAACTTTGGACATGTGGCCAAGAGGGACCAGTCCTTGGAGAAGGACATCATGCTTGGAAGGGTGGAGGGACAGTTCAGGGGAGGAAGACCCTGGATAAGATGATTGACACAGTAACTAGGGCAATAGGGGTAGGTGTGCTAGAGTCAGTGAGACTGGCTCAGAGCAGGGCAGGCTTCAGGGCTGCTGTATATAGGGTCTCTATGAGTCACAGGCAACTGACAGTACATAACAACAACAACAAAGCATAACTACAGATAGAAAAAGAAAGCTTTTGGGGGGTGGGGTGATCAACACTATGCATTTAATGCAAGTAAGAACGGATGCACTGTGCCCTGAGTTACAACCCTCCCTTCTCAGTCCCCAATCTTGTTAACCAGACTGCTCTGCTCGTGTAGTGCCCCACTTTTCACCTGGTTGAGGCCATGGTGATGTGGCCACCTGTGAGGTGTGTTCACTTGGATTGGTGCGTTGGCCCCTGGCCTAGCCTAGTGCATGGAAATGCTATGGGGTTAAGTGGCTCCTGCTTCACAAGGTCACAAGACACTTTCTATTAATAACAGTGAGTCCCCACAGTTTCTACCTTGCCCCTGTTGGAAAATACCCTGGAGTGCCCAGTGTGACCACAGAGAGGCAGGCGAGCAGCCATTTTCTGCAGACTTCCTTATTTAGCATTGGAGATGGTTTGAAATAGGCAGGTGCTTGTTGCCATGGTTACCCCATTACACCAGCGGCTAAACTTAGGAAGGGCCACAAGGGATAGGAAGAAAGCTTGATACCCAGGATTTGGAAATGTAAACGATATTATCAAACAAGGCTTCGTTTCACTAGGCTGAACTTGGGTTCTCGAAAGAGTAGTCACTGCTTGGCTGGAAGCCATTACCATTTAAAACCAGGCAGGCTCCCGCAGGCATGGCCCCGAGGTTAAATCTAGGGAGCTGTATTGTTTTGTTTAGTTTAGTTTTAACTAGCACGTATGACTAGCCAGAGCTAGAATTTATCAAGAAACTTGAATCCTTTAAAGTCCTCATTTAATTCTCTGAACTATTGTAAGAAATCATAGTCTCTCTCTCCTCTTTCTCTCTGTAGATATAAGTGTAACAAATCATTTACTATTTTTACATTCTTCACACATCTACTTTAATGACGTTAGTGCTCTTTATCATATTGCTCCAAAGTTTCCCATCAGCCTTAGCAGAGGCTCAGGGTCCTATAACCTGAGTCCTCCTTTACCCTCTTTCCCACTGAGCTCTGCCAATTGCTAATAAAGCTTGGTCTCTATACTCTTTTCTCTCTTGCCTACGGTAGACATTTCATCTAAGTAGAATCATATAATATTTGCCCCTTTGGGTCTGACTTCTTTTTTTTATTTTATTTTTTTTTGGGTCTGACTTCTTCTACTCGGCATGATGTTTTCAAGGTTCTTCTATGTTGTAAAAAGAGCTCTGGTGGCAAGAAGCACAGCTATCAGCAGTTCCTTTTCTAACCAGAATTCTTAGCCTGGGGTCCAAAGATTTCACAGACTCTTGAGAAGAACCTGAAATTTCACATAAACATTAAATTTTCTTTTTCTGAGGAGAATATTCATCACTATGGGAAAGTCCTTGAAGGAACCCATATCTCCACATGGTCAAAAGTCACAGTTCTGATGACTGTGAATCCCTAAGTGGCAACAGGTCAGTCTACACGGAGATTTCAGGAGATTGGCCCCACCACACAGGTTGTTGCTAGGGAAAGAGGTTGGCTACACAGAATGAAATTACATTTCTTGATGGAATAGCTTTGTTAATGGAGCAAGAACCAGACCCAGGGATGCAGGAAGATGAGTCAAGGGTGAGAGGCAAGAGAAAGGGTCTTTAAAAAGCAGAGGTGAAGCTATTTTTAGCTCCTCTCTCCTCACTGATATGCTAATTATTAATGGTTAATAGGCATGTTATGAACATGATCATCTCATTGTTTGTACAAACAACAGAAAGCCATTAATTCAGCTGAACTTCTAGCATGTGTTAGATATAAATATACTAGTATACAAGGATAAATAAGACATGTTTTTTGCCTTAGGGGTATTCAGACTAACAGGGAAGGAAAAATAACCCAGAAATAGTATTTTTAAAATTCTATTAGTGTGTGTGTGTGTGTGTGTGTGTGTGTGTGTGTGTGTACTGTCAAATTGGATCTGACTGGCACAGGAGGAGATTGCCCCTCCTTCTCCAGCAGAGCATCTGGTGGA